ATGTAACTTTAGAGTTCAGATGAAAGATTGCATCTTCAGTTATCATGAATAAGCCTAGCTCATTGAGTGAAGCTACACCTTTTTCTTTCCATCATTTGCAGTCCTAGATCATCAATACAGCTAATTCAATATATAGGTTATGTTTTTATTTAGTGTAACAGGGCTATTTCTTAAAAGCTCTTCTGGAGACTCAGGTAAAGGCGTGATAAGATCTAGTGCATGATCCACACAATCACGCCTCCTGCCATGGCACATGTGTATGGCAAGAGGCATGATTGTGGTATCCAGCACCAGCTCCTATCATACCTTATCGCCAGCACTGGGGAGCCCAGTATCTTGATCCCAGGCTTCCCCTACACTGGCTTCTGCTGCACAGATGTGAGTCCTGTCGGCTAACAAAACTCCCGTCCTTAGCAGCATCTCATGAGCCACCATGGATTGGAGTCCCATCAGCTGACAGGACTTCCATCTGCAGCAGCATGTGGGTCACTGCTGCAATGGGAGTCCTGTCGGCTGATGGGATTCTACCCACCATAACTCATGGTGCTCCCATGTGCTGACGGGTCTTCCAGCCACGAAGGCATAGCTGTGCTACATGTGCAAATTAAATCTGGATAGAAACCAGCTATGAAATTACTACACATTTTCCAGCTCTAACTCTATAGCTGGCTGGACCTTTTAATAGTATGACAGCTCATTTGCATGTGTAGCCAGTCTAAATCAATTTTGCATTTAATCTGATAATCGTGTGATATATGTAACACATGTAGAAGGGGGCGTTATAAGGCAGAGACTGTTTAATATATTTCAACCCACTTCTAGGAAAAGGCCTTTTGCTTGAATACTATTATCTGGATGAGTGGATTGTACTATATATAAATCACCCTGCATATCTAGCTAGGAATAAACCAACATTAAGCAGAAACAATGCCTGTAAACTCTTTAGGGCAAGGACTATATGCTGATATTACTATAACATTTCTGAAAAATAAGACACTTCTATTTAGCTGATTGAATGTGGATTTAGGAGACTAAAATTAGGCCTCCAATTTACACAGCCATAACCAGAATGTCTTGGATGTGTAGTATGTTTTTTATCTTTAATCGAAAATGGTCGATTTTTTGGTATTTTGGAGTACATTTGTCTGCTTTCATCTTGGCCTTTTTTGTGTATTTTCAGTATTTTTGTAAATTACCCTGGGAATCAGATTCTATATAAAACCTGTAATAAATAGCGTAGAACTGTTCATAATTAAGTGATAGTAACTTTAATAGTTTTCCAGATAATACCATTTATGGCTGCAGAGTTGGCTTAATATCTTTCAAAATAATTACTTTAAAAATAGAATACTGTGATGCTACATAAATACAGCTCCATCAATGATTGATTGCACCTTATTACATCTAGACATCATATCTTTCTGAGAATGAAAGAAGATAGTGGTGATAGTCTTCCTTTAAAAAAAAAGAAAGAAACAAAACACCTGGGGTGAATGGTCTGTTTTTCTGCTATTTTTATTTCTATTTTATATCTTAATTTAAAATATTACAGGTTCTGTTCAGCAGAATCAATGTGCATCTATGCTTACTATAAGTTTTGGGGGGGGGTTAATATATTTACCCACCTTGGTACCTTTTACATTTAAATTTAGCTAAAATCTGAACTAGCTCCATTTGGAACAAAGCTGGAATTGTTTTAAAATTTCACCTGGTGGCCTCTTCTTCCCCACCAACTTCTATACCATCTGACTCTGATTATGGGATCTGAGCTCTTTTAAACTATGGACCCCTCCTACAACATCATTTCTAATAGGTCTCCACTGTGATCTCCTATGGAAACTGACAGCAGTGCCAGTGGGCCAAATCCGTCTCTTCTCATTCAATATGAATATCACAGTGGGAGCTTCTGGCTGCCAAATGCCATTAAAAATCTGGATGCACAAAGTACCTGAAAATGTGTTCCTGCCTGTGCAGCAAGATAGTAAATGGCAAGACAGACATAGGATTCTAATGCTGCAGTAAGAGAAGTCTTGTCTGGTGGCAGGGTTGAAATATGTTGCACAGTAGAGAGACTTCATAGTCTTTACTTGGGAGCAGCTGTAATTTTCACTTGTACTGCATAATAATTTTCACCCAGTGCCAGCTTCCCATTTGGGCAGAGTTACCTGAGTCTCTCAGGGCTCCATAAACATCTAAATCATGTGGATTATGGCTGTAGTTCAATATCTGTGCCTCACATTGCAGTCTGGTGTTGTTCTAACATACTACAAAAGAATATGTCCACGCAAGTCTTGGAATTTATGAGTGGGAGTTTCATGTTTCCTAAATGGTTTCTCTTTTGAATAATAATTACAAAAAACATGTTAAAGGGAAACCTGCCTGTTAGCATCAGTGATTGATGGGATTAGCAGGACTTCCTTATTGCTAGAGTAATAGCCTGAGGTTTACCAAGGCTGTATATCCATGGTTCATCAAGAGCCATTCATGGAGAGCCATTCATTTTTCAAAAATGTGCTTCACCCTCTGGTTAAATAAATGCTGTGAAACAGATCCAGATATTTAAGAGAAATAGAGCTGCACAATCAAGACAAAGTAAAATTTGAAGTAAGACTTAACTGTTTACCAGGGAGGGTGATTAAGCATTAGAACAAAATAGATAAGATGGTGGAATTTTATAATCTCCATCTCTTGAAGTCTTCACATGAAGGTTGCCTTTCTAGAAGATGTGCTTTAGTTAAGCACTTCTTACTGGGTTCAGTACAGGAGTGAATCATAAAACAGTGTGGCGCAGGTTACGTAGGATGTCTGACTAGTAAATTTAATGTGGCTTTGAAATCTAAAATGCTGGCCTTCAAAATCTAAGAATGAATCAATGAAAGCTGTGTTTTTCTCCCATAGTTTTCCTACTGAAGGCTGGATTTCTTAGGGGAGGCAGAGAAATCTTATTGATCCCTACCAGGAGTTCAGTAATTTGGGGCAAACATTGCAACATGCTGAGTGTATCGCCATGAAATCACACTTGTACCAAGTGTTCTCAAACTGCAGTGCGTCTGTTCTAATAAGCACACCTGAGACTGAGACCTTGGGAGGTTCATGGGTGCGAACCAGAAATGACTATGTTACAGTTTTCTAATAGCTGGTACAGGCAAAACAGCAGCAAGCTGACACTGCTGTTTTCCTGACAGTGCTTTCTAGCATTGTCCAATGCAACATGGACAAGGCTTAAAAGCTATTCCAATGTGATATCTGTGTTGAAGCCTAAATTTTAAGTGGTGGTGAGGTGTCCACAGCTCGCTTGCGCTCTTTCACAAATTCAAAACTAGTATCAACGTGAGTTTTGCTTGTGTAGCCTTTAATACCTGAGAAAATATCTGAACCAAATATTTTATAAAACCAACAAGATGTGAAATAGAAGCAGCTAACAGAATGCATAACATTTGGCCAGAGCTGAATTACAGATCCCAAGGCCACGTTTCCACCCACTGACCTTGTGTGCCACAGCACAACATACAGTGGAGTAAACGAGGAGCTCACTTTGTTTATAAAGCATCAGAGAAACTGCAAAACAACATTTGTAACTGGATGCCCAAATGATAATACACCCCAGGCATCTCGCAAGCTGAGCAGGGTCATCCCAGATCAGTACTTGCTGAGACCCACAAGAAAAACATAAGCGCCTGCAGGAAGCTGATCTGACTATACATTAGGTCAGTCTTGTGCCTCTCCCAAGTGTCGAACCAATGTACCAGCATAGTATTTGTAATGTTATGGTTGCTCTTGCTCTTGCACTTTGGATAACCTGTAAAGCCAAACTTCTGTGACAGAAAGCATTAACCTTAGTGTTGTAGCCCATTCCAGCTTTGTGTGATTACTTCCTCCTTGCAATTTGTTAGCTGCAGCATTCCTCACATCTATCTCAAAGTACTGCACAGCATGCCTGTTTGATGGGAAGTAGCTGCTGCATACTGTCTTTGGAGCTCCTAGATTTCAGTGCTGGATTAAACCAAGGCACTTTGTAAAAACAAAACCATGCTGTTCTATTTGTTTTATTGGCAATAAAATTATACATTGTAAGGATTTGTCCTCTGAAAGTGCCCGCAGGAATGCTGCAAGCCATTTTTTTTAAATCTGAGCATAATGAAGGTGGTTCAGTTGTACAATAAGACATTTACCATTTCTGGAAGGTCTGATTTTCCTCCCATAATAACGTGTATCAGGAATAATTCCAGTAAATCAGGGCATCAGCTCTTCAGCTAGGGAAGCAGGGGGCAGGTTCCTTGTCCACTGAAGTTCCAGTGATATAAGAGAGAGAAGAATTGGTACCCACAGCCCCCTTCCCACAAAGCTCACAAACTACAAGCCCTGTCCTGCACACAGCTACTTAAGCAAGTAAGCATTTGCAGGATGAGACTGTAAATTAGGTAATGAATGGACCCAGGGAAGCAGAGTGATAAAACATCAAATCTTGTTATTGAATTGCCTGTATTGTGTCTGGATTTTGTTGGTCCCAGAACATTTTAATGTAGTTTCAGCGTGGAATGGTGGATTCTTTTTAAATAATTTACTATGATAATACAGGTATGCAAGAGTTGGGAAGTTGGCTAGGATCTTATATATTACTACAGGTTTCCCTCGCCAACCACTGGGATTAGGTTCCTGAAAGTTCCCATGTTTGGCAAAACTGTGGTTGGCAAGACAAAAGGCTTATGAGAAAAATGGCAGGTGGCGGGCTGATTTGCAGCCACAGAAAACTGTGGTTACTCAAAACTGTATACTGTGGTAGCCAAAATGGTATATAGAATATTAAGGATGGATACTCAAAATCGTGGTTGGCAAAACCATGGTTGGCGAAGGAAACCTGTATAGCATGTGTCTCACCACAGTGGCACTAAAGAGATAGACATAAGGTGCCTAATCAAATAAGTGAAATTGTAGGCTTTTCTGTGATTGTGCTGCCTTGTAGGACTAAAGAGACCGATATTTTATTTTCCTCTTGCTAGTTCTTGGATATTTCAATTAAATGGGCCACCCAGGAAACCTCTCCCCCAAAGTACCTCCATTATGATCCAGCTACATCTCATCAACTGATGTGTGACCTGTGCCCTCCTGGAACATATGTAAAACAGTACTGTACAGCTACAAGGAAAACTGAATGCTCACCATGTCCAGATCAGTACTACTCCGAGGACTGGAACAGCAATGATGAATGCCAGTACTGCAGTGTGGTATGCAAAGAGCTACAGTATGTTAAGCAAGAATGCAACAGCACACAGAACCGCATCTGTGAATGCATTGAAGGGAGATATCTCGACCTAGAATTTTGTTTAAAACACACAGAATGTCCTCCTGGATCTGGTGTTGTCAAACCAGGTACGTATCTGTTTTCAATACACAACAAAATGAATTAGTGCCATTCAGAGCACTGAAGAGTTGTGGCACTTCAAAATTAGGAAACAAGCTTGTCCAGGTGAAATTACAGGGTAGTAAATTGTAAAGCCAATTGAACCTGTTACCGTTCTAACATTGCTTTGGACTCTAGCCAAAGGACCAGTTCTCAATGGAATACTGTGCTCCTACTGTAATATATAACTTAATGGCAGTACCAAATGTAGCAAATTGCACTCTAATGAGAAACATGATGAATTACCTCTTTTAAAGGAACATTATCCAGAGTGTAGTTTGTGTGTGATAAATAATAACGTTTTTCATTTTGAATTCTGCTGCTTCAAGCACCTGCATATCTTGACAAACACCAGAAGCATTAACTGACATAATACCAAAAGCATAAGTATAACAATATTAATGTAGCACTAAAGTCAGAACAATATGTGGTAGTAATTAATTACCAACCTCTTAAATGAGAACTCTTAGGGAAAACATTATTATCATCAAAAAAACAGCCAACTATTTCTTTCTCAGACAAGCTGGTAATATGCTGTGTGTCTGGGAGGGATAAAGATTACAGTAGTGTTTTCAGGGGACCATATTCTTCATTTTAGACAAAATAAATTGTTAAGCCAAGAATAAGTTCTTGTTTTGAAACAAATTATTTATCATTCTGCTTATGACATGGCCCAGTCTAGCTCCAACGCTTAATGATGCCTAAGAGAATTGCAAGCTGGCGTTCTACCTGAGACAGATAACTACCTAGAAAAGAAATACAGGAAAGGGCATACACAGAAAAACAGGGGACATTTAAGAGATTTTTCAGTTTAAATACCCGAATCTTCAAAATTGCCTAATAGATTTCCTGGCTGTATGCACCAGGCAAGAGTTACTATTCTATGAATGCTAGCCAAAACATTTTAGAGGGACTTGAAAAGCAGGTCAGTACTGAACACACTTATGCATAGGTTGCAACAGCATCGCTAGGTAAGCGCAGTGTAGCAGTTTGTGTAGCTATATTAGAAACAAGACAATATAGACCTAAAACAAAGAGCATATAGAAATCCACTTAGAAGACTCAAAAGGAGTTTGAAGGCAGAAGGCAGGTGTGGTGTCCTTCAAACTGCAGTGGCCAATAAAAGGGAAGCTTGCAGTCCAAGAGCACACCCACAATATTAGACCTGTTATTCTTCCAGAAAAAGATAAATGGTCTGTCCTTGGTTACATTTGGGTAGCATCACTGAATGCAGTGGTCTTGCCCTGGTGCAAGCCAGAGTGCAAGGTAGCCAAAGTGTGTAAAAAAAAAAAAAAATCCCAATTAGCCACATAAGGAGGCTTTGGACAGGCTGAAGAATTAAAAAGACTCAAGATTCAAATTCTGTTCCCAGCTTCATCACCTCACAGTGTAATGTCACTTACTTAGTGCTCCCTCTCTGGAAATATAGACGGGGGAAGCCAACAAGATTAGAGTGAGACCCTTGGAGGAACATCACTATAATAGTTGTTACTGTATTTTGTTTCCTTTATCTTAGTCCTAGCACTCAAGCATACATTGCTGATCATCATAAATCTTTCAACAGAACACTGGTCACCTTCCTGACTAAATACCATGTTTAATACATCCTCAACACCTACTTATTCTGGAAATCAGTCCTGTAGTCTGTGTTAGAAGGTGTCAATATAGCAACCATCCCAAAGAGCTCATTGCACAGAGTATTTATTTGGGATACTCACTCCTCAGACTATTCCTATACCTGGATTATGTAGATTTTTTTTCTCTGCAAGTGGTTTCTGGCAATTAACACTTTTTTGTTGCTTGCTCTGTGTATTGATCACATTGTTTGTCACACATCTCTATGCTGCTTTTAGTTCTAATTTAATCAGTTTTGGTGTTCTGTAATGTTAATAATATAGGTTTCTTACTTTTGAAACTGTCCTTTTAACTAGAATTTGAATTCCTTCAAAGGACTGACAAGGCATTGGTTGGAACTAGAATTGTGCCAATATTAAAGCCAATATTGCAGAAGAGTTTAGGAATTTAATCTCTGGGTTTAAAACTGTTAACATGATTTTGTATCTGAAGCAGATAAAAATTGCAAGGGGCCCATTCTCCTGTTTAGGTATGGATGCAGCTGAAATCTCACATGTACAGCTGTTCCCATGAGCTTCCCACCATAAATGTATGAGATTGCCTGTTCTTAAATAGTTTCTGTCCTTTTGAAATGGCTTGCAAGAGCAGCTCATGTGATCTGATACCACTGAATCTAAATACAAGGCTTAAAAGCTTTTTGCACTGTGTAGTCCAGTGTTATGGCAGTACTTCACATTAGCAGAAATCCACTTAGGAATTAGTACTGATGCAGGCAGCATTTTGTATCCGCTATGTCCCATAAGGGAGGAGGGAACTGAAACAGAAAGGGAGAAGTCAAAGGGAGGTCAAGGGAATTAATGCTAGGGAGGCCCGCGTAGCAGAGAAGATTAGCAGTCACCAGAGACTGCCCAGTTCCTGTAGTGTCTCGGACTTCAGTGTATTCCCAAACTACCTGCTTTTCTGCCCGTCTCTGGTGAGGAAGATGTAGAAGAAAGGAGAACCTGCAGGTAAACACCCAAACAGCGGTTCTTGGAAGGAGAAGTCTGGCTTCACACCCAAGAGCAGTGGCTCTCAACCTTTTTAGACCCAAGGCACCCTGAATAGACTCAAGGCATCCTTCTGAAAAAGCCACCTCTTAATTTTCACCTCTGTTTTGACTACAGGAAAATAACAGAGCAGTTTTTTCAGTTGCAAAGAACTCAAGGCCACAACAATTGATTTCTATTTAAAATGGCTGCATTACCTTGTGAATCATATTTCTAAAACTAACATTGCTAACATTGTGTGACACCTCATAGCAACCCAGGATGCTGTGATGCCCTCTTAAAGAATCACTGCCTCCCCTTGTAAGAAAAAACTTGAAAGAGGCGCAGCTGGTGCAAGGGAAAGTTACCAGAAAGTCTGCCTTCACAATGCTAGCTGATGCCTAATCATGTCAAACATGCAGTTGTCTGTTGTCTCAACTTTTGTACTTTCTCCAGTCACTGACATTTGATAAAACATAGCAGATTACAAGGGCAGGCGCCTTGTGTGATGACTGTTCTTTCCTGGGAACACATCATTTCTTAAGTAATTATACAGAATCTCTTTCGATTTTCAGATGAGAACAGTGAGACCCCTCGTTTTCTTTAGGTTTTATTTTTATTTGTTTTTGCTTGTTATGTGAAGAACAAAGTAGCATGGTATCTTTGTATAGCAATATATTCCTTATTTCTTGGCTAATGGAAAACTCACTGAGCTTCATATTCTCTTGTTTCTAACAGGTTCTAAGAAGCACAATATATATAGTTGGACTTGCTTATGTCCTGCAAACTTCTTTGCATCTAGCTTTTAAGAGCAAATACTCCTCAAATACACTAGATGGGGGTATTTGCATATGCAAATCTAGTCTTTAATTCTGAAAGATAATTTAAGCATATGCTTAAGTCCATCTTTATTGAATAAAGCAGTTAAGCACCTGCTTGACCTTAGGCATAGGCTTTAAATATCATTGGTTTCAAATGATTTGCTAAATGGGAATAAGCAAACTATAATAGATAAGTACTGATTACAGCTGAGTTTTTTTTCTTTTTTTCATTTGATAAGATAATCCTTTGCAGTTACTGTCAAAATTAGTCCCGTACATTAATTCTCTTGCTCTAAATCACCATGACACAGCAGTATCCCTTTGTCTCAGTTCTTTAACCAGGATAATAAATATATTCTATGTAATGGTAGTTCAAACAAATAGAATCTGTTTATGTTTTTCTGATTATACATGTTCAGTTGGTTGTAGGTAAGTATATAAAAATGCAATTACTCCAAGAGAGAGGGGTCAGACTATAATGTTGAAATTACTATGTTGCTAAACAGCAAAGTATCTGTAAAATCTTTATATTACCACATATTGTAAAGTTTCCAAAGTATAACTCCAGAATTTCATATTTAAGGAATAAATATGCATGTTGGAGAAACTTCAACAAATGTGCATATCTAAGGGAATGAAGGAAAATCACAATAGATGACTGATTTTAATTTCAATATGCAGGATGTACTTAAATTACATTGCTGCCCATGGAGAGGAGAAAAAGCCCTGACCTCCAGCAGACCTAAATAAATGGGCTAAATTCTGGTTCTTGCTACAACCAAAATAATTAATTTTAATGAGCCCAGATGTTGCAGACCCAAATTTGTGCCAGTTACGAATTTTCCCACAACTCTATGTGGATGAAAATGAAGGACAGATCCTGTCTGTGAGCATCTGAAAAGTCAACTACTTATTAGTTTGTGACAGTATGCAGAAATCAGAAGGAAGTTTAAAATTTGTATTTAACATAATTTTGTTGTATGAACTTCTTTCTTAAAAAAATTCTTTTGCTTTTCTCAACATATTTTCCAAATTAGTGCTCCTACATGTGCAAGCAAGCACAAAATTCTAAATTATTCATATTTTATTTTTCATTATTTTCTTGCATGAAACCTAACACACACACCATATATCCTGTGTAAAGGAATGCATGTTTTGTCTTTCTAAAGGTACCCCTGAGAGTGACACCAGTTGTATGAGATGCCCAGAGGGATTTTTCTCAAATGAAACTTCATCCAAAACACCCTGTAAGAAGCACACAAACTGTAGTGCACTAGGCCTTAAAACAGCATCAAAAGGAAATGCAGTTCGTGACAACGTGTGTCAGGGAAACCGCGATGCATCAGCTCAAAAATGTGCAGTAGGTATGTATAATGCTAAGTGTACTGGAATTATATCTTCTTACATTCTCATAATGAAATTACCAGCGGCAACAGTAACTGCCAAAACAGTTGCTGAGACCTCAGATACTCAGGTGATGGGCAAACTGTAATAAAATGTTTGGGATGTTAAAAGACGCATAGTATTGAAGAGAGGCCAGTTCTTATTTTAGACATGCTTATAAAACAGATTTTCTTACTATCTTTGATCACATAGGTTTGTTTTTCCCAGAGCCAGATAATTGTGCAAGGATCCAGACATCTTACTGAATATTTTTTTTCCTCCCCCCATTTGTTTTTAGATGTAACCCTGTGTGAGGAAGCATTGTTCAGATTTACTGTTCCAACCCAACTCTCCCCTAACTGGCTGAACGTACTAGCAGACAATTTGCCTGGCACAAAGATTACTGCAGAAAATATAGAACGGATTAAACAAAGACGCAGTTCTCAAGAACAGGCCTTCCAATTGTTGAAATTATGGAAGCAGCAAAACAAAGAACAAGATATGGTCAAGAAGAAAATTCGAGGTAATTCATATGGCGCAGCAAGCACAGGAGAAGTAGCTTTCTAAATAGCAGTTCTTTAAACTAGTGGGGTCAAATTCTGCCCTTGATTATGTGCCCACACCTAGAGAGTTGAATGGGTATGACTAAGATTTATGTGCATGCTACACATAATGGGCAGTCCAAGGATGTGACTATGGAAAGTATTTAGCACTTTGTATTCATTAAAAAGACTACTTATGCAACTCCAGTTAATGAAACCTGAGTCAGTAATATATATCCAAGTCCCAGAGTGCAAAGCATTGTGAAAACGCAGGGCTCATTTTGCCCACACCTGCATCCGAGCAACAGCTATAAAGGTCAGTGGGTATGCATCAATGGGGGCAAAATTAAAGTTTACAGTATATCATATAAGGGTATACTGGGACAAGCTTAGCAGGCTTGGGACTTAAACCCCCTGCTTATCTACAGAATGTGATTATGAGGACTTGCAAATCAACACCCACTCACTGCCCAGCAGAGGTGCTTTTCCCTTCCTGCTGGGAGTATCCCTATCTTTCAAGCCTAATTATTCCTTCACCTGTCTGCTGAAACTGCCCATATTGATGCCAAAACTGAAATAGTCCCAGAAATATCTGTAATGTTAACACTTGGTAGGATTTTCAGAGACAATTACTAACCCCTTTTATATGAGCCAGTATCAGACCCAACCAGAGTGTAATGACCCTCGTCCTACAAGGAATGGATTTGAGCTGTTAACCTTGAGAAGAAAGACACTGTAGAATTTGCATTTTTATCTGCATTTAAATTCATGTCTGTTCATATCACTGTAATGTCAAAAGTATTTTTGCAGGCAAATGCAAATCTGAAGTCCAGTGACAGTTGTAGTAAGGATTGCCTAGATATTTTCACTCTATCAGTGACATATTTATTCACTGCAATCTAAAATTCAGAGACCAGCCTCATGCACCAGGCACCTTATACATGTTACAAGAGTGTTCGAATTAACATGCAAATTTATATATGCTTTTAAGTATTTTGCATGGTTTCCTCCTAATACAACAATGATAAAAGATTTATTTGGACTTAAAAACTAAAAACATTTAGAAAGAACATGTCCTTTTGACTTTAGAGCTTGTTTTTAAACTATTATAAAATGATAACGAATCTTATTTATGTACTTCTGTGTTTTTTTGTTTTCTGTAGATTTTGATCTTTGTGAAAATAGTGTCTTAAAACATATTGGCCAACTTAATCTCACCTTTGAACATCTCAGCATCTTGATGGCAAGTTTACCAGGAAAGAAAGTGGGAAAAGAAGATATTGAGCGCACCATGAAACTGTGTACACCTACAGAACAAATTCTAAAGCTCCTCAACCTGTGGAGAATAAAAAATGGAGATCAAGATACTATAAATGGCCTACTGTTTGGGTTGAAGCACTTGAAAACATACGACTTTCCCAAAACAACAATCCAAAGTCTGAAGAAGGTTGTCAAGGTTCTTCACAGGTTTACAATGTATAGAGTCTCCCAGAAATTATTTTTAGACAGGGTAGGGAACCAAGTTAAAATGGTGAAAATGAGAAGTGTTTAATTCAAGATGTTTTTCCTTTACTCTCCAGTGACTACTTCCCCCTAATTACTGCTAGCAGTAATTAAACTGGAACATTATTTTCCCTATCTTATGCCTAACTATTTATAGAAATTCCTGACTGGAACAGCTCTAAGGTGTCAGCTATGAGGTTGAGGGTTTTTTTGTTTTGGGGTTTGGTTTTGGGTTTTTTTTGTTTTTGGGGGGGGTGTTTGTTTGTTTTTTTGTTACAAAGTCACTCTACAAAAGCTACTAGTCTGTTGATAACACTAAGATGCTGATTCTGCTTCTTAGCTCATCCAAAATAGAAAGGTTCCACTAAAGCCATTGCATGAGAATGCAATGGGCCAGGCTCTAATAAAGTATTTACTATTTATATTCATTGAGTTATAAGAGTTTTTGTTGTACATATTTATTAACTTAAATAAGAACTATATGATTTAATTTGAGAGAGAGAAATTTAAATGTGTGCTATATATTTTCTAGCTAGACAAAAATGATCAAATATATTTTTCAGCAGAAATTTTGTAATTTTTCCTAAACGTCCTTAATTTCTTTACTATGTGAGGTTTTTTTAATTGTTACTTAGATTTGTCTGTATAAGTTGTGATATCTTTTGGTAGCTGTTGTCTAATTTATCCAATGTTTTAATCCAAATAGAAGAAATATACCATAAATGACCTGAATATTTCAATATTCTGTGAGAAAGTGAATGTACCATATTTAAAAGCTGGATTTTTTAAAGGATTCCATAATCTTATTTGATAAACAATTAAACAGTTTTCAACTGACCTTTTGTCTGTTCAGCTTGTTACTTTCAGCTTCAGTGGGCAATGCTCACACAGATGTTTCCTTTGGATTTTACTCCATTTTATTGAAGAGACGGGCCTGATTTTGCCAGTATCCCATGTCTTGTCTAGTCACTGTCATCTGAGCAAAGTGAATGCAAAGTAGCAACTGAACACCATTGTTCTGAATTAGTGCTCTATACACACAGGTGTCAATGTCCAAACCAGGCATAAGGCACAGGAGAATGAGGTCCATGGGTCTTTGATTGATCTGCTGCGAGTAGATACAGTTTCACTGATGATCTGAATTTAACCAGTAGTTACTCTTGTTATAGCCTTTGCCCAAACCACAGACTGTGATTTTTGAGAAAAAAAGGTACAGTTGCCTTGAAAAAAGACTTTCAAGGAGCTGGACCACAGGGAGCTCATGCAGTGGACTGTACATCCCCAGAGGTCTGTAAAGATCCACTTACCCATAGGCTTGGCTTCAATGCAAAAGGAGGGGTAAAACAACTACCAAACAGTTTTACAGCCTGTGCAAAGGGAACGTGCACAAGCCTTATGTGCTACTTAAAGCCCAAGTGCTATAATAATGGCAGCCAACCAACTTGTACTATTTCAAGCCTAAGGACGGAGGGAGACTTCTTGCCTGGTTCCCTCTTTCAATTGTCTATGCAAAGTCCATTTCTTCAAGGGTTAGTTGAGAGGGTCAAAGGAAATGGTAGGAAGTTCCTACCTTGCATTAAGTCCCATAAAAGAGTTATTATTATACTACAGATTAATAGAAATAATCTTTATGTACTTTAAACCAAGAATAGAATGGTTATTGCAAGGTACAGTATAACTGGGGCAAAAAGTGTCAAACAGTACACTTCGGAGAACTTTAAAATGACATGCTGTTTAAAAATAAAGGTTTTGGGAATCTTGTTTTTGAAAGTGACATCAATATTTGTGATGGTGTTGGAGTAGCCACTATGGTCCAGGAAATGTCCAAGAGCCAAGGCTTTTATTTATATATTATTGGACCAACTGTATAGCTAAGAGTGTGGATGGACAGTCTTTCAGACATCAGCACCCTTCTTCTGGTGACCTTCACCTGTGACCAAAAGGTGACCTGAGAAAGGGAACTTGTTGCTTGAAAGGTTGTTTCAACTACATGGCTCTTCCAGCTACATGGGCGGTCCAATAAAAATTATCAGTGCTTGTAGCAGAGTTAAAGTATGAAGGAATAATTTAAACATTATATTCTGCATGAAATAAAGTAAAAACTGATTTAATGTGCCTGCACTGTAAATGGCAGGCTATGTACATTTTTTAAAATAAACATTGTCCATGTTCTCCATCCATATTAAATCCATTATGTATTTACATATTTTAAAATTAATCATAACAAAAGTTAATTCTAATATTAGAGCTTAAAAATCAACACAACCAGATCAGAGGGTTTAAAAATAGGACCTAGACTAGAGCTTTTTTGTGACTTTACTAGGTTTAAAAGCTTGTTAAAGACATTGGGATTAGTATAAAAGTATTTCTACCTGAGTAGAAATAATCTTTATGTATTTCCACCTCAGTATTATAAAGAGAAGTCCTACACCTCTTCAGCAAACATTTCTATCTTCAGTGATGTCAGCTGGATCATCCTGGTAAAATAGATCAGCAACTGCTGATCTAATAGATCTGCATCTAGGGAGGAAGAACCAGCAGCCTACTTACAAGCTGGGGAACTCCCTTCTCGTCAGTGCAGAGGCAGAAAAGGATCTTGGAGTCACCATTGATGCCAAGATGAACATGGGCTGGCAATGTGAGGATGCAGTCAGGAAGGCCAGCTGCACCTTGTCATGCATCCACAGATGCATCTCGAGCAGGTCCAAGGAGGTGATCCTCCCCCTCTATGCGGCACTGGTCAGACCGCAGCTGGAGTACCGCATCCAGTTCTGGGCGCCGCACTTCAGAAGGGATGTGGACAGCATGGAGAGGGTCCAAAGGAGGTCCACTCGCATGGTCAGGGGGCAGCAGGGCAGGCCCTACGAGGAGAGGCTATGGGACCTGAACCTGTTCAGCCTCCACAAGAGAAGGCTGAGAGGGGATCTGGTGGCCCTCTATAAGCTTACCAAGGGGGACCAGTGGAGAACGGGAGAGTCCCTGTTCCCCCGAGCACTACCAGGTGTCACTAGGAATAACAGCCACAAGTTTACAGAGAGTAGATTCAGGTTAGCCATCAGGAGGTGCTACTTCACAGTCAGGGCAGCTAGGATCTGGAACCAACTTCCAAGGGAAGTGGTGCTGGCTCCTACCCTGGGGGTCTTCAAAAGAAGGCTAGATAATCACCTAGCCGGGCTCATTTGATCCCAGCATTCATTCCTGCCCATGGCAGGGGATCGGACTTAATAATCTGCTCAGGTCCATTCCGACCTTACCAACTTTGACACTATGCCACTTCACTTACTGTGTCAAGTAATCATACAATTAAAAACATCTTCAGAAAGACCATCTAAAAGACCTGAGTAGGCAGAAAGCACAGATAACTTGTAACTAGTAGTTTATGTAGACAATTTTAATCTTCCCTCAGAAGGATCCATGGAAAACTTGAATATTACAAAGAATGATTATAACTAAGTACCATTATAATAACATTGTAAATTTACACATGCTTCACAAACATAGAGTGGGATCCTTGGGGAGGTCTAAAGAGTAAGAGCTATTAAGTTCCTACCTTGCATTGACTTTCCATGAGGATTAAGCACCCAACTATAATTTATGCCTTTAAAATGTCCCTCTGGTCTGCATGCAAAGCTGCACCATTTTAACTAAAAGTGCATTTTAAAACCGATTTGGTTGTGGGTTCAAACTCTGGATAGATCCATTTAATCAGCTTACAGGGACATGGATACGGTGGGAAAGGGGCAGGAGGTGATTACCACAGGCCACCAAACTGCAAAAGGCCCTGCACTGCAAAATGCCCACCCTGTGCTGAGATGCATCCTACAGTGATGAAACCCATAGATAATGGACACCCCCAAGATTTCACCATATCTAAAGGAAAACCCATTGCCTCACTGCCAGTTTTAACACAGATTATATCAAGTTACCTCAATTCAGTAATGAATCTACTTAACATTGTGAATAGCCAACGTTTAAAATACACTGTTTGTTTTCCAAAAAAAGGATGCAAACCAAAAGAGCCAAGTCAAAAGCCTGCACAAACCCTATTGTGATGGGATGTTGTATGAAGTAGAAAGAGCCCAGCTTGCTTCTGCTCTTGCTGTTCATTTCTTAAACTTGGTGTTACCGTAACAGTCCTGTTTTCTGTTCCCCTTCTGCCTTATTCTGCCCCCTCATTTCTCAGTCTGTGGTATTGTCTCTCCCTGCCCTTACACCTCTTCCGCCATTGTTTTTTCCAGTAGCACAGTGCGGTGCGGCCCCGCTGCCTTTCCCCCCACCTTGTGCTGTTTCTTAGATGGCCACACTGTGGTCTTCCCACATCTGTCCTGGTGTTCCCCAGGGCTGTCCCTTCTTGTTGTCCATGACTGCTGGGTCTAACTTCCTCACTTTACCACGTCATTAGGATGTGGGGGAGGGCTCATTACCTTCCATTTGCAGTTTGGGCAGTTTTGTTTCCTCTGTTTCCCCTTCCATTCACCAGATGTTTCCTCCCTCCTTGCAGCTGATGTTATCAAACAGTCCCCAGTGCTACAGGGTGCTGGGTCATGGCACAGGGATGGTGCACAGTGATATGCCACTTCAGTGGAAGAGAGCACTAAGGTTCATGGAACGGCCGCAGTGAGAGACTAGTCATGGTCCTGGAGCCTGCTGTAGCAGGCCAGAGAGATGAATGCACCCATTTGTGGCCAGGTGTGGACTGGGAATTCCTATACAGGCTTTTAAAAGAACTATTAGGTGCCATGGTTACTCTTGCTGGGGAAGAATCCCGGATGAGATGATGGTATTTAGGTTTCACCTAAGTTTGGGCTGGGTACATTACTCAGTGATGAAGTCAGGAGGGAGCTATGCTGATCATCCCAGGGGGAATGCCCATCAAACCCTTCTGTACCACACCGTCCTTTATCCTGCGTCTTACAGGGAAAAAGTTACAAGAGTATTTTAGAACAACAGAAGCATTTTATTGGGACTGCTGTTTATTTCTATCAACTTGACAAGGTAGGTGCTTTAATTACCACCTCTCCCTCTGTGCAAAGCTCATAAGGAGACACAAAATAATTAAATTATATTCTTAATACATAAGACATTAGTTTAAGGTCCAAGGCCTTAATTTAGGTGTATAAAAGATGTCCCTGGTACAAGACTCTTGGCTCCCTGAAAGGGAATGATGTTTGGGGAGGAAAAATTCCATATTGGGAAAAGAAAGCAACAAGAGTTTAAACTCTTTGGAAGCAGGGACCAT